GTACCCCTAATAATACTACCTACTTACGAATCATAATGGAGGGTTTAAGGTTGAGGGCTCTATAAGGGATCTAATTTTTTTCTGGCGGGTTTATAAAGGCTTTCATAACTACAGTGCTTGCATGTGGGCCTTGTGTTGTCTGCCAAAGGACCGCTATGACATCGGCAGTAGTGATAGTATGGGATCCCTTGCCGTGGTCCTCGCTAGCGTCATCTTCAGAAAAAGTTCACTTCGAAATGAACCACGGCTTCCAACATCTTGCAACCTGGCAGATACGTAACATAGGATGCTTCGTAATCAGGATAGAGCTTTTGGGCAACATTACATTCCAAACAGAATGAGGAAACCTGATTCTGAGAAAAAAATCAGGTTTCCATATTGGTAGATATATTTCGCCTCTGCGGCATATTAGCCGTAAGTGACTTGTGCTTACTGCCAACTCATGAGCCAACAAAGCATGTGCACCCACATCCAGACNNCATACACACACACACACCCACACACCCACACGCCAACACACATGTGCGCACAAGCAAGAGGGTGAACATCTACGACCGCACACATGCATGCCCACTCTCCGGCCTGTGTGTTCACGATGGATGCCTCGTACTCCTGGGGCAGCTCGATTACCAGAATCTGCAGGCCGTCACAATGTGCATAGACCTGTCCAGGCTAGGGAAATTGCTGTGACTTAGAAGAATGCTGTAGTGCAGGGGCTCTAGTACATTTAACAAAATCACACGGTCTAGTAAGTAGTATATCTGCACATTGCATGTTGCTCATGAATATGCATGCTGCTAGTGGGCAAACTTGGCTACCGTTTCGGGTTGAGTAAGTTTGGATCTCACGACCTGTTCTAGGCCGATTTGGGGTTTTGGTGTTTGGGGCCCTAAACCCTAAACCGGGATCATCCAGGTCAGGGCCGGGCCGGTTTAAAGAATTAGAGCTGTAGAGGTCTCGGAATGGACAGGAACGAACCTGATTTAGCCAAAACTCAAAAGCCAAATGCCTAGCCGAAAAGGCCTACAGGTTTCCTTGTGATGAAACCCTCGTAGCCTCTTAGCTGTCCAGCAAAACTCCAGTATCCTAGGGGAACTGACGGCTTGCCGTTGGGATTAAATAGGGATTATAGAGCTCCAAAAAGGTTAAAGAGCTACTATACCCCCAGATGTCTGGTATGCTACAGGTCGGGTTTTTGTGTAGCACCAACAGAACCAGCGCACACTCTTGAGGTTGCGATGAAACCCTAAACCCTAAACCGCCAAAGCCCTCGCAAACCCCTCAGGCGCGGACACCCTGCAGGCGCTTGTTGAGCAAGGACTGCATCTCGAGTCCGATCTTCTCGCGCTCCTCCCAGTACCTTGGCACAATAAGGCTTCGACGAGCTCGACCCCAACACCCGAGAGAAAAGCTCATATCCACACACCTAAACCCCAAACCCCAAACCTTGACACCTAAACCAAAGCCCAGAATTCCCCTAACCCCTAAACCCAAGAACGCAAGACCCGAAAACTTAACCCTCAACCCTACACCTGAGATCCTCCAACCAAAACCCCGGAACATTACTGCTGACGTGGTCCTGAAGAAGTTGAATGCCGCTAGCGAAATAAGTTTGATGCCGCTGGCGATAGAATGGTTTAGAGTTTCGGGTTCAGGGTTTAGGTAGGGTGGCTACTCGTGGCAAAGCACTAGGAGGTATGTTTATGTACGGGCCTTAAGAAGTAGAATAAGGTTTTGGGCTCCTGTAGAGTATAATTTCAATCAGGAGCCCTAGAAGGAATAATATTGGTAATTCTTTATGCTTCTGAAATCTTCTATATTGCACAGGATCTACTGTCTGGCGGGAGATTGTCTAAGCAGTCTAATTTCAGACATGCCGGCATGCACTGATACATTGCTATGCCCTACCACGACGTCTTCTGGTTGGGCTATGGGGCACTCTCCGCCGAAAAGCCTGCAATGTAATAAATCAAACTCTAACCCTGGTATGAATGGTATAAACCCTAAGCCTCGCAAGTATGCATGAACCCTAAACCCTAGACCCTAGACCCTAAACCCTAAGCCAAGGCCCCTAACACCCGAACCCTAAACCCTAAACCCTAAACCCTAAACCCTAAACCCCTAAACCGTCTGCCCCGCTCCCTGGCCCTCCTTCTCGCAGCTCCGCGGCTGCGGAGCATCGTAGTCTGCTGCAGCTTTCAGCAGCACATCTCCTGGCCGGCCGGCTTCGGCTTGGGCCTTTAGGGCTTTTTTCCTTAGGGTTTAGGCTTCGAAGTTTAGGGGTTTAGTGTCGAGGGTTTAGGGTTCAGGGTTTATGGTTTAGGGTTTTGGGTTTAGGCTTTAGGGCTGAAGGGGCAGTTTTTAGGGCTTGCCACTTCTGAAGCCAAACCTGACGACCAAAGAGAATGAGAGTGTAAGCGTGCATGTCACCCCGGGGCTTTTACCAAAACTGACACATGCAGTGGGACTAGCGGTGCTACTTGGAGGGTCGGGGGACTTAGTAAGTGGGTAGTAAGTAGACTTATAGGTATCCTAATAGGGATCCTAATTGGGGTTATGATACTTATGACCCTGCGGAATAACTAATTACTAAGTCCCCCGACCCTCCAAGTAGGGTTTAGGGTTTGCGGGTTAAGAACCAATCGCAGCCAGGACTCAGTCGAGAACAAAAGGTAGATGGTGATGAGAAGGGGTGATATGGCGGTCATGGTAATCATGCACCCAAAACGTCACGGGCCTCAGAAGGTCTAGGGATGTCAGCATGTCGGGAAGTTCATATAAGAGGCTGCTGTCTCCTAGACCAACCGAATCTTGCCAGAAACCCGTTCCACAAGACTCCCCGCCAGGTCACTCGCTTTTTGAATGAAGAGCGGCTCATAGTTCAGGTTCCTGAGATTCTCAGGCTCAGTTTTTCCTGCACGTTCTGGGAAGCTCTGGCAGCTTTACGGGGTAGAGTTGCAGGGTCTAGCGGGTCTGGGAGTGCAGGGTCCAGGGTCTTAGGAAGCCCGAACTATTTACGGGCTAGGCTTAGGGTTTAGGTAGGATCCTGTATCAAATTTCCAGCGGCGTCGTGGGTTTAGGGCATGCGGGCTCATGTGGGAATTGTAGAAAAATGAAGGGCTCTCAGACGGGTCACGGGCAGATGTAGGCTATGAAGGCTTGAATGTGCTCACAACCGTGTTTAAGTAGAGGCAAAGTACCTATAGCTGAAGTTCTACGTTCAGCTATCGCGAAACTTGCAAATCACAGTGTCCCCAAGTTTGTGAGGCCCCGATTGGTTGCACAATGGGGGTCCTCCAAGCTAAATCCCTGGACCCTAGACCCCATTTTTCATAAGCCCGTAAAATCCTTAGGAACCTCTATACACTCCGACACAACCGCCACAAAAATCGTTGAAACCCATCATCCCGTAAATCCTACCTGGACCCTGAAGAATCTACCTTTTCGGGGTTCCTTATTATGATCTATTTATATAAACCCTTAGAAAGGTAGGTATTTGGGGTTAAAGTAAGTCCTCACACCCTTTAGCCCAGGATAGATCCTGTCAAGAAACCCTGAACCCTGAGAGGTCCCGTGAAAGAGCCGTTTAAACGAACCCGCTTCGCCCTAGACTCTACAAAAGCAATCCTGACACATCTTTAACCCTCAACCCCTAAACCCCTAAAGGCGCTCTACAGGAAGCCTGAAACCCGAAAGCCGAAGCCCTGAAACGCTAAAGTTATAAACCCCAATCTCCAAACCCCAGGGTTTGGGGTTTAGGGGCTTAGGGTTTAGAAGTTTAGGAGTTTAGAGTTTAGGTTTTAAGCTTCCGCGAACCCAAAACCTAAACCCCTAGACCCCCGACCCGAAACCCGTATAAGCAACCCTCGTAAATCCCTTCAAGGGAATCCTGACTTTTGCTTTAAGGCCCTAAACCCTAAACCCTAAACTGCCTTAAAGGAACCCTACCAGACCCCCTTTTAAGGAGCCCCAGGAATCCTAAACCTAAACCCAAAACCCCAAACCGCAAACCCTAAGCTGCCTTAAAGGAACCCTAGTAGACCCCCTTTTAAGGAGCCCCAGGAATCCTAAACCTCCCCTAAACCTCCCTGGGCGGCCCTCTTCTGCCCGAGCACGCCAAGGCAAAGAGCTCTCCGAGGTGGTGGTTGTCGATCCTATGAGGACTTACAATATAGGGTTTATTTTAGGGTTTAGGGTTTAGGGTTTGGGGTTTAGGGTTTAGGATAGAAGCCCAAAAATTGGAGAACCAGCAGCCTCAATCCTTAATAGTAATGTACAGGGAATCCCAGCACTATTCGTCCTTAATCCGGTCTCCAACTTTTTGGGGCTTACTATAGCGCTTAGGGGGTTTAGGGCCTTAAGCTCCCTAGACTCCTGGGCCCGAACCCTTTTGTTTTTGAACCCAGTCTCTGATCATCAGCTGGGAAATTCGGCCACACACGTGCTCAGCACAACGTGCAGCGACTGAACTTTGGAAGTTGAAGTGCATGTGCAACAACACATAACAGCAGAGGCTTCATGAACAAAGCATGGCATGCAACCGCATGTGTCCCTGAGCCCGAACCCTAAACCCTAAACCCCAAACCCTAAACCCTCATTGCCGTTTCTTAAAGGGACGTATAGGAGGATCGCTTTTGACAGGGCTCAGGGGCTGAAGGGTTACAGGGTTAAGGGGTCATGGATCCTACCGACAGTGGCCAGCGGATGTAGAGGCTTAGTAGGACCGCTGACAAGGTTTTGTAGTGGTTTTGGTTTTTGCATAGGTGTTTGCATAGGTGCAGCACAAATCGCAGATAGATTGCAGCCGGACTTGTCACAACGTCTGAACCCACCGCTGCAAACACTAAACCTCCTGCTCCTCCTGCCTGCCCACCCTCAACCCTGAACCCTACCTGGACCCCACCTACCTTTTCAAGGACTTATATAAAGAAATCATAATAAGGAACCCCAAAAAGGAAGGTTTCATAGGGTGAAGGTGGACCCTGAAACCCGAACCCGAAGCCATGAATCCTATACCCAAGCACCCGAACAAGCCACGAAGCCGCAATCCTGAGAACTCCCGACATTGGGCTTGGGAGTTTATTGCTGTTTCTCTTTTTTTGGGTTTAGGGTTTTAGGTATTTGAGGCGTACTACTAGGGTTTGGGGTGTAGGCTTTGGGATAAGGGTGAGAGCCAGGGAACACTGTTGCTGATTGCTAGAGTCCAAAGATTAGGGGTTAGAGCCAGAGACTACTAAAATAGGGTTTCGGCGCTCACACTCGGACACTCCAGGCGAGGCCTACGGTCCGAAAATAGGGTTTAGGGCTTTGGGGTTAAGGGTTTAGGGTTTGGAAATGATTCAGGCCCGGTCCCCTAAACCCTAAACCCTAAACCCTAAACCCTAAGCTAAACCCTAAACCCTAAGCTAAACCCTAAACCCTAAACCCTAAACACCCTAAACCCTAAACCCTAAACCCTAAACCCTAAACCCTAAACCCTCGACCCCTAAACCCTAAACCCTCAACCCCTAAACCC